CCAAATGTTCTTGGCTAGAGAGTTGCCAACATTTTATGTCTGCTCAAACCCTGTGTCCTGACACACTGATATCTCATGCTGGCACTGAAATGGTGAGACTGAAAAATGCCCACTTTAGAACCAGAGATTAAGTAAACGAGGTATTCCGTTAAAAACCATTTTAGCTGATCACAGCGTTCAGTGCACCAAGCATAAGGAGCTTTCCTATACTCAAAGATTTGTTTCACAGAAGACTCTGGCACTTAAGCTTAATTTATAATCTATAAAATTTCAGAAAATTTTGCAAAAATTTAATTAGCTCTTGAAACTGTTATCCTTTACGTATGTATTTAATTAGCTTTGCAAACTGTTTAATTTAGTGTGCTTTAAAAGCCCATCAGTACTGCAGAGAAACGTTTTACTAAGGATGCTATAGAAACATGACTGGGTCTATTATCCTTTTTACTAAAGCTCCTGTGGTGAACGTGATTGGACCTGTTATCCCTCCCCCCCATCGCTTCCTCTCTCTGCTGTCATTTTCCCTCCTGTATTGTTTTAATTAATTAACTAACATGTATGGGTGTTTTGTCTGCTTGTATGTGTATACACCATGGTCCCTGGAGGCCAGAAAAGTTGCCCAAATTGCTGAGACTGGAGTTACAGATGCTGTGATGGTCATGTGGGTGTTGGGAGTGTGAACCCAAGTCCTCTGCAAGAGCAGCCAGTGCTCTGACCACTGAGCCACCTCGCCAGCTCCCTTCCTGTCATCTTTTTTGAGGTAGGATTTCACTACGTAGTCTAGGCTGACCTCAAACTGTTATCTTCCTGTTGTCAAGGTAATGAATATGCATGTTGCCACACCTGGCAATATGGTTAATTTAAAAAACAGCACACAAGGAAGACGCATCCTAAGCACGCGCTGTGCGGCCTCTGTGCTGGGCCGCCTTTAGTTCTCTTGGACAGGAGCAGAGGCAGGGGCATCCCTACCCATCCAAGAACATCACGTCTACTGGGACAGTCCATCTCAGACGCCATATCTGTAACCACCCAGAACGTCCCCTCATAGATGACCGCAGAGATCAACTACGGCAAACTCATACGTGAGCAACACTCAAAACCAAGAGAAAGACGTTCAGTTTTTAGCAATTCTGCTTCACATACACAAAGAATTGTCTTAGTCAGGGCTTCTAAATGCTGAAACAAAACACCATGACCAAAAAGCTACCTGGGGAGGAAAGGGTTTGGGGCTATTACTTCCATATTGCTATTTATCTCTGAAGGAAGCCAGGGCAGGAATTCACACAGTGCAGGAAGCTGGAGGCAGGAGCTGACGCGGAGGCCATGGAGGGGTGCGGCTTACCAGTTTGCTCAGCTCTTTCTGGACCCAGGGATCTGACCACCCAAATGGGCTGGGCCCTCCCCCAACAATCACTAAATAAGACAATGTGTAACAGCTCGATCTTACGGAGGCATTCTCTCGATTGAGGGTCTCCCCTTTCAGATAACTCTAGTTTGTGTGTCAAGGTGACACCTGACTATCCAGCACAATAATGTAACAACGAGTTTTTAAAAGCTATGCAGTTTATACAGTCGTGACCAAGGACATAATCCCAAATTGCTTTAATGGCTTTACCCACACAAACAGAAGTTCAACGGCAATCTTGAAAAGGGGACTGTGGACAGCAAACAGCCTGAAGCTATGGAACTTAACATAGAAAAAGAAACCCCTGCTTCCAAAGCATGAAAACTACAGTGAGACAAAAAAAAAGAAAAAAAAAAAAAGAAGAAAAACTACAGTGAGAAAGAATCGGGGGTGGGGGGGCCCGGCCCCCCCGGCCCTCCAGAGGGCAGCACACATGCGCTGTGGTAGAAACGGCAGCGCGCATGCGCCGTGGTAGGTAGACCTCTCACGAGGAAAAGTTTAACCTCAACACACTGCGATGACCTTGGTAATGCTCCTTGTCAGTGAAGGAGCTTGCAAGCTGAGAGACGGAAGGTGGTCACACTGAAGGGAGAACTTCCGTGAGGAGGCGGGGACTGCCTCAGAACAGCACTAAGTTTTAGGGTCTCTCAGCAATCCTGTGTCAAAAACAGGTGCAGTATTTGTGTATACTTTTTTTTGTTTTAACTTGGTTTTATGAGTATGGATGTTTGCTGCAAGTATGTCTGTGCACCCTGTGTGTGCAGTGCCCTCAGAGGTCAGACGAGGACATCAGGTCCCCTAGAATTAGAGTTACAGATGCTGTGAGCTGACACATTGGTGCTGGAAACTGAGCCTGGATCCTCTGGAAGCAGCCAGTGCTCTAGCCTCTGAGCTGTCCCTCTACCCCAGCATACTTGTTTTTGTAACCATAAACAATTATACAATGAGAAATGCTTTGCTCAGATATCTAATCATGACACTATGACATATTTGCAAGGCTTGCTCACCTTGGCTGAGGAAACAATCTGCTTGGCTTGCCGTCTGGACAGATGATCAATTGTCTTCAGCAGCACTTCTGGGTTGGCACTGGCTAAGTGCATGACACTTCTGTAACCTGCACTATATAACTGTTTTGCTCGACCCTAAAGTATTAAAGAAAAAGAAACACTATGAGTATTTGGGATTATTTAAAAAAAAAAAACCTGCATGCAACAGAGAAGAATAGACAAAGGCAGTAATACAAATATGGAGATAACCCAGCAGCATACTGCAGAGCTGGGAGCCTGCGTTTGGGAGGCTCTAATCTGACTGAGGTAGCTTTCCACACAGTCTAAGTTGGTTGCTGAGACAACCAGGGATGGGAACTCAGCCGGGCGCTCGGGAGAGCAGCGCCAGCTCACGTCCTCAAGTTCTAGCCCAGTCGTCCCCTCAAGTACTCTCATTACCCACTCGGGACCATGTCAGTGTGTGTGCACGTGTGTGTGTACACGCACGTGCGTGTGCTTCCTAAGTAGAATGAAAAGCTGAAGACAGAAAGGACTGAAGCTGATGTGTGTTGCTGAAAGAAAGCTGACGACCGAGTATCTTTTCTTCCCACCGTCGTAGAGACTGTTAAATGACCTTCTTGCCGTCCACAAACTGACAGAAGTAATCTTTACTCCAGTAGAGACAGAGGAGCTATGGTTGAGATACAGGACACACCTCTTGGGGGAGAGCAGAGCCCAAGTTTTCATAACGAAGATCTTGCATCATACCCATTTCTCAGATAGCAATGGCTTCTTGGGAGGCCATGGCATTTTATTTAAAAAGGAAATGAAAAAGACTTCTGTGTGATCTGATCTGGGATCAGCAGAGTCTCCTGTCTAGGAAGGTCTGGAAGGACTGAAGGGGGAGACCCTAGAGTAGACAGTACTTTCTATTGTCTGCCAGCAGCCCAGGCAGAGGGAGGTCAGAAGGAAGCCAGGGAGTGGTGGTGCACACCTTTAATCCAGCACTCAGAGGCTGAGGCAGGCGGAGCTCTGACTTTGAGGCCAGCCTGGCCTGAAGAGAGAATTCAAGGACACTCAGGGCTACAACGAGAAACCCTGTTTTGAGAAGTGAAGAGGGACATGGGGGATCTATAGGGAGGCGCTGCCTGCCTGCCCATGTTGAAGGATGGGGCTCTTCTACACCTCCCTTGGTCCTGACTGACAGAGGGTTACTTTGATTAACAGTACTATGGCCTTAGCCTAGCTGTGCTCCCAACTAGCTTCCAACTTCTGTCAACCCATTTACACTATTCTGTCTGCCATGTGGCCCATTACTTCTCCTCAGTTTCATGCATCCCCCTTCCTGAGTCTAGGTGGTGAATCTTCCTGCCTCTCTCTCCCACCATTTCTCTCTCACAGGTCCTACCTACTCTCTCCTGCTTTGCTACTGGCCACCCAGCTCTTTACTGACCAGTGATGCTTTTACACAGTGCACGAGAGTTATCCCTGCATGCCCAACTTTGCTCTGATGCTGAGTGCATCAACCCTGCAGCTGCTGCACCACCCCTCGCTTTGCTGAAACCCAGCTTCTTCAGTCTTCAGCATGAGGTTCAGCAGCTCTCCAGGAACCCCCAGGCTTTCGGCAGCAGTTGGAACTGCTGGGGATTCAGGACCAGCCAGCAATGCAGGCCACCCACCAACTCCTCTTTGTTTCTATGTGCTGATTCCATCGGTTCTGTCCCTCCACAGGACCTGGAACAGCAGGACTCTTTTCAGAATCTATCACGCAGTAACACTTCAGAAAACGGTAAAAATTGGTGTTTCTGTTAGAAGACATGAACTCAGTTAGGGAGGCGGGATGAGGCTGACCTCCAAGACCCCCGTCACTTCCATGAGAGGGATTAGCTCCGCCTTCACGCAGTACGTCAGTTTCTTGGTGAGTTCCACCAAGAGGGCTTTGTAAACCCAAAATTCCTCCAGCTCCTGAGCAAACAAAGATACATCAATGTAAGTTATCTCTTTTACATAAGTTGCATGTTGATCTGTGTAAGTCACCCCTAAGTTTCTTTCTGCAGCTTGGATGGGCTAGGGCTAACGGTGATCCTCACAATTGCAAGGAACATGGGGACCTTGGGAGCTTGATGAACAAGCTTCTGGAGGAGGAAAACAGATGGAAAATTAAGAAAAAAAAGTTATTTCTAATCAAAATTTCAGGAAGTGTCTGTACAGTTTTGTTTGTCAAGTGACTATAAACAGATTTTACTTGTGGAAGTTAACTCAGAGACAAAGTATTAAAAAAGGACAGAGTCAAATGCAACATGATATTCAAGAAAACATTTAAGCTAATGAGAACAGGAAATCTGACTGGAGCTAGCACGTGGCTGGGTGTTATCCTGTCAACTGGTCTGTGTGAGACACAGGCATGAGGCCTGGGGCCTGGGTAAATGGCGGCACAAGCTTGAGCAGAGTTCAGAGCCTCAGGACTTACGGAAAAGCCATGTGCAGCTCAGTGGCACAAGCCAATGTGGTGAGCTCCAGGCTCCCCGAGAGACCCCGTCTCACGCTTGCACTGAGAGCAGCCTGCAAGACTCCAGTACAACTGCCGCACGGCTGGCTGTGCTGAGCTGCCTTGTGTGGGCCCTCCCGCCACGTGAGAGGACCTTCATTAGGTTTTCACTATTAACCTTGGTTAAAAATCATCCCCACTAACACAGCTGCTGACCAGAGAAGAGAGTAAGAGTAAAAGTACACCATCACCCTTCATTAGCACACATAGTACAATTAATTATTCACGTCCATAGACTACAGAGGCTTAAGATAGGAAAAAAACTGACATTCAAAACTGGTGAGCTGGGAGTGGAGGTACATACCTTTAATTCCAGCACTCAGGAGGCAGAGGCTGCCATCTGTATATAATTTTACCATCATGTATATACACATACGCCTATCGTGTAGAACCCTATGTTTGACATAGGGCTGCCTGCTCGACACTAGAAGTAAATGTGCATGTTGCTGTAGGTATCCAGAAGATGTGGACTGAGCAGTCACATGACCACTGATGGACTCCGGTAACTGACCAAGCCCCTCATCACTCCTGAGTCACCACACAGAAGACAGTGGAACCGTCACCCCTGGTCCCGAGAACAGGTGAGCTCTGTGCTTTTCACTGCTGAAGCCTTTTAGGTGACTCAGGAATGTCTGCATCATTTCCATAAGCTCACATAGTCCTTGTGTAAAAAGGCAGTAACGAAGAAAGGCTTTAAATAAATCTGCGTGCTCTGACAGAACAGTGACTCAGCAGGGAGGAGAGACAGGCAACTGCTTTGGAGTTTACCAGCAGCTAACATGAGAAGACAAGTAGAGTCCCACGGTTAACTGATTACCTCACAGAAATGTAACACGCAAGATGAGAACGAGGCAGCTCCCGTAAGCAGACTCTGTATATATCCTCGGGGCATGTTAAATTTCTCAGACACACTCCAAATGTTGGTCTCTTTCAGCAAGGAATAAAGGACAAAAGACAGATAGAGTCTGTTGACAACGTTCTTGTCCACCTTCTAGAAAGACATAAAAGGTGCCATAAGTGGGTGAGGCTGCAGCTGCAAGGACAGAGGCGGCACAGAAGCCCCTGGCTGCTCACACACTTGCCAGCCATGGAGGAGACAAGGTCACTTGTGCGCAGTGTAAGGACACTCGCTGCTCTGGGGAGGAGAGCAGATCAAAATGCTCAAGCCCAGCACCTGGCACTCACAACTGTGACAACTTGGGGCGAGGACCTTTGCAGATGTGGTTAGTTCAGGACCTGTAAATGACGCCAGCCAGATTTACCACGGGGCCTGAACTTGCTGACTGGAATCTTCATAAATGAGGACAGGACAAGGAGACACAGAAGTCAATGAAAAACGAGGCTCAGGTCAGAGAGATGCACTTGTGAGCCGAGGAGCTGCTATACCAGAGCCACACAACTAGGAGAGAGCATGGGAGGCTTCTCCTTGGCAGCCTACCCAAGGAGCCAGTGTAGCCTCCTGGACCTTGAGGAATCAGGCCGGGCCTCACATATGCTAAGGGTGTTGTTCTCCACCCTGAGCTGCAGCTGGGCTGGCTGTTGAGTCGCCTGCCCGGCTGATTGTTCGCAGCGTTAGAGTGAGCGTGTGGAGGGATGTGGGAGGCATGGAGGGCCCTGTGCTCACAGAAAGGCAGTAGGGACTAGGAATGCTAACACAGTGTTCCTTCACGGGAAGAGATGTAGAACCTCTTCTACACCTAGAAGGCTGGGGCGATGTGCTCAACAGCCTGGTGACCTTTGGGCTTCTCACTGGCTTGTTTTCTCAGTCAGTCTGTAGAACCTATCTTTATGGAAGATGGCACATGCACTTTACAAAGCCCTTTGATATTCATACTGTGCACATGAGACTGAGTTACTTATTACCAGGAACATTTTTACCAAATTGTGCTATGCTTAAACATATCTAAAATAAGAGACTCGGGATCAGACTCTCAAAGTTTGAACCAATATGGGCTACTGGGTTGTGTGGAGTGGAACAACTACACAGCACTGTGTGGAACCAAACTGGAAGTTAGGGAGACCTCCACAGTGACTGTGCTGTTTGTACAATGCACTGGCCTGGGAATGGAGGTTAGACAAACACATGTAACTAAATGGTAAGCTTGTCTATACCATGAACTGCAAGGGAGTATGCTATACTTTCCCCATGGTCATGATAATCACAGCATTCTCAAAGCTGAAAGAGAGAGACAGGAAAAGACTTCCGGTGGCCAGCAGTTTCTGCTCTGTGATTGGCTTTTGCCTGTGGTGCTAGTGATCTTGTGCAAAGAATCTCATCACTAGTATCAAGGTAATGTGAGAATCGACTTCACAGATGGACTTGAAAGAGGAGCGCAGTCACAGAGCGCATCGCTGGTCGGCAGGACGCATGCCTGTGCTCCTAGCATTGGAGGCCCAGCAGGAAATCGAGACCTGAGCTACACAGCAAGTCCCTGTCTGAAAATGAAAACATAAATAAGATATGAAAAGAATATTGAGATAAAGGCTATGTATCAGTGGATTTTGAATTACAGATTCAGCAGGTATATAATGGACCATCCTTTTAAAAGCATTAAGTTGAAAAAGTATATTGAATTCGAGGTAGGCAAGATAGCTTTTTAATATGGCATTTTTAATGTGCTTTTACCGTTAACTATAAATTGAGTTAATGTAGACTTTGCTTAGAATGTAATTCCAAAGCCAGGAAAAATGATAGAATTATTACACAGCAGGATAGACGTCTTAATGACAATTTCAGACTTTTGTAAGAAGTGTCAATAAGAAAAGGCAGGGGCTGGTGAGATGGCTCTGCAGTTTAAAGCACTCGTGCAAGGCTGACCACCTAAGCCTGATGCTGGAACCTGTATAAAGGCAGAGAGAGAGAGAGAGAGGGATGGAGAGGGGAGGGAAGGAGGGGGAGGGAGGGGGAAGGGAGGGAGGGGGGAAGAGGAAGGGAGGAAGGGGGGGAGAGGGGAAGAGGGAAAGGGGAGAGAGAGAGAGAAAGAAAAAGAGAGAGAGAAGGAGGGAGAGAGAGAGAACACCAACCACACAAAGCCGTTCTTGGACCTCTGTGACATGAACACAACACACACATTATACATGTGTGCACATATACTCAAGTAGGACAGCTCACATGGAGCTTCTGGGAACCATGCTGGCCTCTTTAGGGGATGGAAGCTTAGTGGTAAAGTGCTTGGGTAGCCCAGCCAAGTATCTGTGCGTGCACACACACACACACACACACACACACACACACACACACACAGTCACATATAAACCTGTATGCATAATATATATTATAAAAACATTTCAAATTCAACTTACATACACAGTTATGTGATATTGTAGAAATGTTTTATAATATAAACCTAACAGATTAATGTGGGGAAGTTGGTTTTTTCTTTTCTTTTTTTTTCTTTTTTTTTTTTTTTTTTTTGGTTTTTCGAGACAGGGTTTCTCTGTATAGCCCTGGCTGTCCTGGAACTCACTCTATAGACCAGGCTGGCCTCGAACTCAGAAATCCACCTGCCTCTGCCTCCCATGTACTAGGATTAAAGGCGTGTGCCACCACCGCCCAGTCGGTTTTTTCTTTTTTTAAAGACAGGTTTTTTTCTTTTTCTCACTGTGTAGTTCTGCTTTGCTTCAAACTCACTGTTGTAGACCAGGATGGCCTTGAACTCACAGAGATATACCTACCTTTACCTCCCAAGTGCTGGGAAACAAAAAGGTCAAGTCAGGAAAGGGGATGATATACGGACACTTGTTTTCTTGAGTGACTCTTATTTAGAAAACAGGAATGATACGCACCTTTCTGACAGCTTGTCCTGACGCTTTCTTCCCAATAAAGCCTTCGGAAACACCGAGAAGAGCAGCTACGTTTTGCTCTGCCGGGCTGAGCTGACTAAACTAATAGAGAAGGAATAAACAATGAAAACATGCAATTGCAGCTTTAAAGTCTAATTTCAGCTCAGAATTTCTAATTCTGAGGTCACATCTTCATAATTTCAGTGGACAGGAAGAACCTCACAACGTTTATAAATATTACAGAATTCTCATCATAAGCAAAGCAGAATTCTCATCATAAGTACTTCGTCAACACTGGCTACACATGACGGGCGGTTCCACGGTTCCATGCCCTGGTGACGGCCTGGCTGTCTGGCTGTGTGAGCACGTGCTGATGCGTGTGCCTTACTGCGTCTCTCAGAGCATATCCCCACCACATGACTGCATGAAGACAAGGCCATGCGTACCTTTCATGGACTGTGATTGTGTTTAATATTACAGTGCACTAGAAGAGGAAAACGACAGGAAGGAAGGCCTTGACAAACTTATGTAACAACTTAAAAATGACACGATAGAAACTAAATTCCCGAGATTAAAAAGCTGTAGACTGGGGGCCTGAGGGTGTGGTTTCAAGGTAGAATACACACTTACTATACACAGGCTTTGGGTTCAATCTTTAAAGCTGTGGGGCCGTGGGGAGGCCAGCCACTATTTTTGCCTAATGTGATCCTGTGTATTCATTCGGCCAGACTGTTCATAGTAAACATCATAGTATGTGACTCTACCAACTGTTTGATCACACACAGGGCCGGCTCTCCTGTGTGACTGGCTATAAAACGCATGCTCCCTGTGAGCTGGAGACGACTGTTAGGCACCTGCTTGCTGCACAGGCATGAGGGCACTGGTAGTCTCAGAACCACGCAAAAAGTCAGGTGTGTGAGCCCTGTACTGCAATCTCAGCCCTGGAGCTCATTTGTCAGTTAGCCTAGACTAAGTGTGGGATCCAGGTCCCAGTGAGAGATTCTGTCCCCCAAAACAAGGTGGCTCCGAAGAAGTGACACCTAAAGCTTGACCTCTGACTCCACACACACGTACAAACATGCACACCACCCGAACACAAATAACTATTTTTCAAAACCTGAAAGACAAATACATTTGTGTGAAGGTCGTATTAAGAACCATAGTGTTGTACAATTCATAGCCTAAACAAGGAAGAGAAAGAAACTCTGAAAGACAAAAGGCCCAATTCCAAATGTTTTACCAGTGCACTTGACAAAAGTCCGGAGAAATCTAAACTGAAAAGTCCTGTTCTCTCACCTGCCTGAAGTACACCATCCAGTCAGGCTCAGACTGAGCAGCAAGGTCATAGGGCGTGATTAGGTAGACCAGATGAAGAAGACTCTCCAGTACAAGTCCTTCCAGACCTTTCTTCAAGTCTCTGTACAGAGTGTCACAATAGGCCAAATCAATGGCTCCTAAAGAAACAAAACCACAAATTCAGGAAGTGCTTGGGCACACTCTTGGCCAGGTGTGCGGTGTATGTCTGTCCCAGCCACAGCTACACAGCAAGTCTGGGGCCAGACTGACCTGCGTGAGACCCAGTACCCAAACCCAGTTTGGATTAGTTTGAATCTGAGCAAGTATATTTAACCCCTCAGAGTTTTAGTTTCCTCAGCTTTAAGAGACAATAAGGCAAGCACAACTGAGTCACACATAAGAAACATACAGTGAAGATTTGGGTTTGTTAATTGGAATAATTTTAATACAAATAACATGAATGTACGTGAAAGATACAAAGATATTATAATATTGGTGTGTTTGCACCTGTAGTGTTAAAAAGCAATAAAAATGAACACTTTGTAAGACTGAGAATTAACAAAGACTTGGTTGCTATTCTTGTTTGCTGAGGAGCTCAGCGAAAGCCTCATGTGCGCCAGGTGTTCTACAGCTGCAGACAGTTCAGTACTGAATTAAACCCTACCACTAAGTCCTCAAATTCTCTTCTTTGTAATAGTTCTGGAGGTTATTATAATAGTATGCATCAAATTTTAGACAGTTCTGATACAACTACTCTATTTTTGGTAATCCGGTAAAAAAAAAATTTCAATGCGTACTCCAAATAAATTGAGACACTGTTTATAAATCATGTGGCTATTTATAATCAGAAAAATCACAAGCAATGCAAATGTCCACAAGTAAAAAGATGGTTAAATAATTCATGTTCCAGCCCTATTATGGATGGGAACAGCATAAAAGGAACATGGGCCTGGACTCTGAATGCGAGCCCACATATGATCTCAGCTACTTGAAGGCTGAGGCAGGAGGACTGCAGGGTCAAGGTCTGCCTAGACCACAGTAGACCAGACAGCTTGGTCAACCGAGTGAAACCCAGATTCAAAAATAAATGGGGGATGAAACTCAGGGGCGCTGTGCCCATCTAACACGTGTGCTGCCGTGGGTCACAGCATGTTATAGATGAGCAGGATTCCATTAGAGAGTGAATAAGGAACATAAATACACGTCTGTCTGTGCAGAAAGATACAGTCAGGTGCCACCTGCCAGGGGCATGCTGCCCTTGTGTAAACATGGAAGAGATGGCCAATACCACCATTAGATGACACGATCTTTTTGAACCGCTGTGAGGTATGTGGTCAGTGTTGTTATGTGGTGGGTGGGCATGTCTGGAAGAGTAGATCCTGAATTGGGAACACAAGGGGTTCACGAGTGGAATGGGACAGGTGCATGGACTTCTGGTAACACAATCCTGAGTTCTTAGGACAGTCTTCTGTGTGTGCGTGTGCATGGGTGTGAGAATATGTTTGCATTTGCGTGTGCATACATGTGTGCAGGAGGATGGAGGCCAGGGATGAAGTGAAGGTCTTCAGTCATTCCCCACATTACTAGTTGACTGAACCAAGAACTCACTATTTGGCTAAGCCGGTTGGCCAGCAACTTCCATGGCCCCAGCTGCCTCTACCTCCCTCCTGCTGGATGGCAGACCCACACTGCCATGCTCTGCTCTGCCATGCTCTGCTCTGCCATGCCCTGCTCCGCCATGCTCCGCCATGTTCTGCCATGCTCTGCCATGCCTGGCCTTTTATGTGGGTGCTGGGAATCTGAACTCAGACTGGTCTTTAAGATTTTATTGACTGACTTTATTGAATGAGACATCTCCCTAACCTAAGTTTTTTTTTTCTTTTTAAAGAGCAGATATTTTTCAATAAGTAAATTACTCATTAAGAAATAAATTCTTGATAACTCTGTGCATTTGCCCCTCCTACTCTCTTTCTGCCATCTTCCCTCGCCGTCACCATGGTGCGAATGAATGTTCTGGCGGATGCTCTCAAGAGCATCAACAACGCCGAAAAGCGAGGCAAACGCCAGGTCCTCATCAGGCCGTGTTCTAAAGTCATCGTTCGGTTCTTAACTGTGATGATGAAGGATGGTTACATCAGTGAATTCGAGATTATTGATGATCACAGAGCTGGAAAGATAGTGGTGAACCTCACTGGCAGGTTGAACAAGTGTGGAGTTATAAGCCCTAGATTTGATGTTCAACTCAAAGACCTAGAAAAATGGCAGAACAATCTGCTCCCATCACGCCAGTTTGGTTTCATTGTGCTGACAACTTCTGCTGGCATCATGGACCATGAAGAGGCAAGACGAAAACATACTGGAGGGAAAATCCTGGGATTCTTTTTTTAAATGTAAAGCATAAATAAAAAGCCTTTGTGGACTATGAAAAAAAAAAAAAAGAAATAAATTCTTGCTGGGCAGTGATGGCCCATGCCTTTAGTCCCAGCACTTGGAAGGCAGAGGCAGGCAGATTTATGAGTTCGAGGCCAGTCTGGTCTACAGAATGAGCTCCAGGACAGCCAGGGGTACACAGAGATACCCTGTCTCGAAAATAAATAAATAAATAAATAAATAAATAAATAAATAAATTCATTCTTCTAGGATAGCCAAGGCTATACAGAGGAATCCTGTCTTAAAAAAGCAAGATGAAAAAGCAAACAAACAAATGAATACATTTTCTGTTCAGATACAATTTTTAAGCAAAAAGCCAATTCAAGAACAACAAATTATTTGTTTAAAACAAAAAATTTGAATCTGTTTATTTATAGCATGGACTGTGAACTGAAGTAAAACACTCAGACAGGTGTTATTCCAGGCAAGATGGAAGGAGGCACGGCCATCTTTTCTCTACTTACAATTCAAAGTATTTTCAACTTCTGAAAGTTGAAATAGCTCATAAAAGTAACACTTCTAATATGAAATCACAAGTCCAATTTAAAGAAAGAAAATGACTTCTATTGGTTCCAATACATTCCCTTAGAAAATACTGAGATTTAGGTAAACTTACCCTTATAAGAAGCTTGGCCCAGTTTCGTAACACGGAAGTGACACTGTAACCCCTCACTGTCGCCATGGCTGTCTTTCTGAAGAAGTCCTTTCTCTGTCAGGTGCTCAAGTGCGTCAACAGTTACTTCCCAGAGACTTTTTTCTTTCAATAAAATCTTTTGCTGAACACCAAAAAATGTACCATTCATAAACTGATATATGTCACCAAGACTTGTCGCAATCTGAAAGAATTCAGGACATCACTGGGACAGTTTTCTTAGTTCAAGGAACAAGATTATTCACATTCATATCTTAAAGCTATTTGAAGAAAAAAAATTGGCACAAAACCTACAGAATTAAAAACTAATTAAAAAATGAGGAAAAAGACAGTTATCATGTTCATGCTTGTTATACACATTTTTCAGAATAATTAAAAAAGATTTTATTATTATTACTATTATTATGTTTGCTTTGTTTTGAGACAAGTTTTCTCTGTGCAGTGCTGACTGTCCTGAAACTCACTCTGTAGACCAGGCTGGCCTTGAACTCACAGAGATCCACTTGCTTCTGCCTCCTGAGTGCTGGGATTGGAGACATGCACCAACACCCTGGCTTCTATTTATTATTAGTTGCATGCCTGTGTGTGGTGAGGCACACACACATCAGTGCAGGGGCTGGTGCATGCCTGTGTGTGGTGAGGCACACCCACGTCAGTGCAGGGGCTGGGGCATGCCTGTGTGTGGTGAGGCACACACACATCAGTGCAGGGGCTTGTGGATGGCAGAGGTGTTGGATCTCCCTGGAGCTGGAGTTATGGGTGGTTATAAATCACCTGATGTGGGATCTGGGAACTGAAAGTGGGTCATTTGTGAGAACAGTGCTAGGTCTTAACCCTTGAGCCATCCTCCACCCCAAAATGCTGTTTAGGTTTTATATAATTCCCAAAGCTGTGCTCTGTTTAACCTATCCTCTCTTCAACTACTGCCACCTACCTACCCATGAAGGCATGCTTTAGCTCTAAAAACCTCATTAAACATAAAAAAGAAACATGGGAACCCCAGCTGAGAGAATTCAGTGTGCCGGCATCAGGCAGAGAGGTGTTTGGAAGAAGGCTTAGCCGGAGATCAGTCTCTGTCTTCTGTCTGGGCTCCACTCCTTCCTCCTCCCGCCCTTAGACTCCTCCCCACTGCCCGTTCATTATTTACAACTGACAGAAGTGATCCTAGACCCTCCACTTGATATGAGGTGTAAAACACTCAGAATTAGAACACACTTTTATTAGCCAATTTCACCAAAATCAGCATGTTATATGGAAAAAGGACCAATCAATAGCTCTCTCTTATAATTCTGATAATACTTCAACTGGGAATATTTAAGTAGTCATTTTATATTAAACCAACATAAGGGATAATAAAATATTATGGAGCATTCATTTTTGTATTGCTTCTCTTTCCTTTTACTAACAATTTTTTTTTTTTTTTTTTGAGACAGGGTTTCTCTGTGTAGCCCTGGCTGTCCTGGAACTCACTCTGTAGACCAGGCTAGCCTCGAACTCAGAAATCCGCCTGCCTCTGCCTCCCAAGTGCTGGGATTAAAGGCGTGCGCCACCACTGCCCAGCCTAACAGTCGTTCTTAATAATATCCAAGCTCAAATGGACTTACAAGATATTCTTGAGCTGATGTTCGGTTTGTGGATCACTAAAGGACCCCGCCTCCGTGGACTTACAAAGGAGATGTCCCCATGGTGTCAGGCATTTGCTCTCTAGTTGTAGTGCCGTCTGAGTGGGTCTTGCTGGAGGAAGTATATCACTGGGGGTGGGCTTTGATGGTTTAAATGCCGCACACCATTCCCATTTGGAGCATCTGCTTCCTGCTTGTGGTTTTGAGACGTTAGCTCTCAGCCTCCAGCTCCAGTGGTCATGTCAGCTAGCAGCTGCATCCTGTGTCTACCACTCTTTCTTCTGAAAGTTGTCTTGGTTATGGTGTTTCAACAGTCATAGGAAGTAACTAGTGCAGTTCTCACAGGCTCTTTCCTGACATCAGAACTGGAGGTGCAGGCAGTGCCTCTGCTTGACCTGCCCACCTGTCTCAAGTCACCTTTCCAGTCCTCTCTGGAAAGCTTGGCCATGATTCAAGCCTAAGCCAGTTTCTGTCTACCCTTGGATACGTCCAAAGTCAAGGTTGTTAAAGTATTTATTGACTGTCAACCAAATGTCAAGCATGGTGTAAGGCACTGCGACTCAATGGTCAACAAATAGAAACATGAGCCCTGATTTTTCAGGGCTCTTAAAGCAGGGGTGCTTTAGTAGCTTAATAATAGAAACAAAACCATGATCTCAAGCTGATTGGTACTGTTATAGGGAAGGAAAGCAGTTCTGTAAATAGTAGACTGGCTCAGAGGCATAGGGAATGTAGCCCCAACAAGTTACAATTAGGCTAAGAGCCAGGGTTTCTGGAATAAAGTGTGAGAGTCCAGACTGGAGAGACAGGCTGCAGTCACACTATCCAGACACCAGGGTGAGAAATTTGGGACTAATCTTTTCCTTTTCTAGGTATGTGCATTAATACTCTAGCTTTTGGGTTTAACCTGTTTTTTTTTGTTGTTGTTGTTAAAGAGACAAGAGTCTTACTATGTAGCCCTAGCTGGCTTGGAAACACAAAAATCTTCATGTCTTCCAAGTGCTGGTATTAAAGGTGTCACAGAACATGCTTGGGTTGTTTTTCGTTTGTTTTTTTAAAACAGTTTTTTTTTTTAAAAAAAAAAAAAAAAACAGAGCCCTGGCTCTCTTAGACTTGCTTTATAGACTAGGCTCCCCTCGAACTCACAGAGATCCAGCTGCCTCTGCCTCCCAAGTGCTGGGATTAAAGACATATGCAACCATTCCTGGATGCTTGGGTTTAATTTTTATGGCAATAAAAATTGTAGGAAACCACCTACAAGTTTCAGTGGAAGGAGTGACTTATTCGCTCACGTTCTGTAATTATTCTCTCTGTGGGAAACATGACTTGGAGGGGATGTGGCAGGTTAGACAGTGGGTGGAGGGAGACCATCAGGAGGCAGGAAAGTTCAGATACAGGCATGCAGTCGAGAACAGCCTACTACTCTATGCTTCTAATTCAGTATTTATAAAACAGAAATTATACTCAGTTCAAGGACTGAAGATAAAACATCAAGTGTTTGGCAGGGTGTCTGAAACATGGCTATAATAAATAATCAGGAACTCCCTGAATCCCATGATGTAACTGCCACATCCTCTCCCTGGAATTTCCTTCTAGAATTTCCTGTCTTCTTGTGTCTCTAGGGATGCTTACCTCTGTCCTCTGAGCCCCAGCCTCACACTGTGCAAGCCATGGGTCTTGGGTGGTACTAGAGCCAAGTCCTCACGACATCTCTGACGTCCATTACACCTCCCATGGTTAAGCACGCTCTCCTATTACCCCAGCCAATACCACACGGCACGACTGCCTCCATCCAAGCTTGAACTCTTCGGCATTCTTCCCCAGTGTTACAGGGTCCAGCCTGCCGCCTGTCACACATATCACATTTAGCTTTTTTCTTGGCGTTCCACTCTAAATATCTAGTGTGGCTTATCTCCTCCTTCTGTGTCTAATCTGTGTCTCTCGAACCTTGCTCGGTACGGTTCATTATTTTCTTCTTTAGACTTTCGTGGCTCTAGTGTAGCAGGTGACTTTGAGCACAAGGACTGTTTTTTTAAATTAACTTAAAAATAAGTCTAAAAGAAATTAATGAATAACTCTAGCTGTCTCCCCCTCCCCCTTTTGGGGTGAGACAGGGTTTCTCTGTGTGTGTAGCTCTGGCTGTCCCTGAACTCACTCTGTAGACCAGGCTGGCCTCAAGCTCAGAGATTCACCTGCCTCTGCCTCCCCAGTGCTGGGATTAAAGGCATGCGCCACCACTGCCCGGCTCATTATTCTTCATACTCGATAAAGGCTGTATAGATCTCTAAGATTCCGTTTTCATGTTGGTAAGCTGATCAGAAGTTGAAAATATTGTAAGTGAAAATGTACACACTACACCCAGCCTACAGAGCCTCTCACTTGGTAACACTCTCTCTGTAGAGCCTCTGCTGCTGCCCTTCATGTCTGCAGAGCTGGGGCTGGCTACAGCCGCCCAGCACTGAGGGGGTGGGACTGTGCCATACGACGACGGGCACACCTCTCTTCAAATGTGAGCAGAGGTGATGGCTGTCATGAGTCCGGGTCCACTGTCTCATGGCTTCCACAGTACTGTCTCATGGCTTCCACGGTACTGTCTCATGGCTTCCACGGTA